GGAGTAACTCTAACCGAAGTTTGACGAGCTGATTGTGTAAGTGAAAAGTCGGATTTCTTCATTGGGACTAATGTTGTGGGGATATTTTATCTATAGTTACGGCATTTACAGCTGAAAACTTTCCTTCATGTGTTTCACGCCTTAAACATTTAACGAGGTCGTCACTTATAAAACTAAGTCCAGTTTCGTTACCGTAACTATATACTATTTTTACTAGAGGGCGTAAGTTACAAGGGATTTACAAGGGATTTTCTAGAAACACGTTTTTCTGCAACGCCTTGTGTTTTACTATTGTATAAGGGAAATATATTAACGCAACACATAAGAGGCATAAGAACATTGCATTTTTGCTTCCTTTATCTAAAACACAATTTCATTATCCGTTTCTGAACGTAAGAACTTCGCCCCTTAGTGACTTTTATTTACACAAAAGTGTTCACTTTTCCATTGTCTTCTGTAAGCACTTTTGATTTTAATTTTATTCAGTATACGAGAGAGAGAGAGAGAGAGAGAGAGAGAGAAGCTCGCGAAAATTAGTCTTCGGAAACTTTTTGTGCAACTGAGCGTCGAACAGTAAATAAATTTGTACAGTTGTCTTCGCCCTCTATTGCGGATATAGAATTAAGCTAACTTTGTTGTCTATTAAAAGGTATTAATAGAAAAATGTCGATAATTTCTCCAATTATCCCTGTTATAGAACACTGTAAACTTTTCTTTGATGAGTTCGTGGAAACTCAGACAAAATTTGACGGGTAAACGAGCGGAATGAAATTCATTTAAAGCTTGCACATCCGAAGTAAATTACGTTGTATTCGTCAAGACTAAACGTAAAAACGAAAAAAAAAAAAACCTAGATTTTCGAACAGACGGAATGTGTATCCAGTAGTTAGTATGTGAAATAATTAACGGAAAGAATAGCGTAAAACCATTTAAAATATTACTCGAAGAATTTGCTCTTGCGCAGCATCAATGCCCATATTTAGTGTCTAAAGCATCACAGAGAATAAAATCGCAGCATTGACCCGTTAGTCTGTGTAAGTGCCTATTAAATTTGCTCTTAACATCATCTGACCAAGATCCATCAGGCGAATAGCTACTAATAAATTGTGTGGATTTCCCATTGGCGTTGCGATGTTTTCAATTACATCAGTTTTAACTTATCATTCGTTTCGTAATCTCTTATACAAGTGTAGTTCGAATTACGCAATATGTCGGAGTATTTTACCCAAGTCTTAGAAATGAAATTGTTTAATAGCTGTAACGTGCTCACGTTTACTCATATATATATTTTAAAATTTTTCAACAACGTCAAAAGCTGACTGACTGAGTGATTTCATTGTTTTTGAAAAAATCAAGATTCGCCTTAACAACTGAGGCGAATGATTGTCTATGTTGCATATTATCTGAAGTATTAACATGGGCCGATTTATTGCTAACAGATTTTAGCAGATTAGCTTTATGATGCAGATTTGAATATATCGATGCATTTTGTTCGACATGGAACCGATGGGAAGAACATTAATTCTGGGATCTTGCTAATTGAGCTGAGTTTCCTGTTATTCAATATACGTTTTCGTTGTGGGTAAAGAATACGATTTGGACATGCGCTTTCTATAGAGATGTGGTTTCGATTGCTGTCTGCACAATTTACAATAGGACAATTTATTAGGGTAAGCAGCAGTGCTATTCTTCTCAATATGAAGAACGCATTCGGGCACGATGCAGTTTCGGCATTAAACTGGCTTACCTAGGCACCTTTGCGTATAATTCCAGCGCATTCCAGCATTGTGCTAAATAAAGTTTGTATAAAGCGAGATATTTAAGCTCACTGCGCCCTTTTTCACAATGAACGATAGAAATATAATTTATCTACCCATGCGACTTTAATTACGTCAATTGTGTCTTAATCCAGACCGTAAGGCATCAATTTGAACATTTTATTATCTTTAAATTCGTGAATACAGGATTGGGATTATATCTCTTTCAAGATGCGATAAATCTTTATTCTCAAATTCCTCTAACAAATGGATTGTCATCCCACTTAGAGAAGCAAATCCCAACTGAATATTGTTTAAATAAGAAAAAAAAAAAAAACAAAAAAAAAAATGTGTTCAATCACAGGGGTGCTATCTCGTGCACGCTGGGTCATCGTAGAGTGCTATCTAATAATTTTAATTAATTATTTTTATTAAAACAATTGTTTTTTTTCTTTTTTATTTACAAACTTAAAAGTAATGAAAAAACTATAATTACCAAGATGAGAGAATTATTTATTGATAATTTATTCATCCAAATAAAAAGGGAACTTCATAGCTTCATTAACTTATGTGTTTTTATTATTATTCGCCAAGAATTAGCAAAACTATTTATGTTTTAATTCTTAAAATTAATTTAATTGTTTAAATTTATGTTTGAAACTTTGTAATACATATTTTTTTTTTTTTTTTTTCTTTTAAATATGTTCCCGAATATACATCTACCGATGTGGATTGCGATTGGCAAGGTTAATTTAGGCACGCTGTAACAGTGCTTATAAAAGTTCAATGAGAGGGTCTTACAGAACCCCTCAATTTGACCGAGCTGACCAAATCTAAGTGTGCCAGAGCCCTGATAATAAAAGTGACAGATCAATTAAATGCATTCCAATGTGTGTGTTCTTAACTTTAGTCTACAATAACTTAATACGTCACGGATTGCCTATAATTAAAAGTCTACTACTTGCTCCCGCTAGAATGTCTTCAAATGCAATAAAACTGCTCACATCGCTGGCACACAGTTGCATTATAAGACGTTAGTACAATAACGGCTTTTAAACGAAATCGTTCCCATTTATTCTATTATGTAACAAAGTGCAGCTGGCATTGAATTTATGAAAGCAACGATGTACGCGAACTTCTTAATGGATCTTGATTATGAAAGATCGAAGCGTACCAACTTAGAATATAGTACTAATGTTAAGTTAATTTCGGGCGAAAATCGTAACAAAATAATTTTATGAAAACGTTTTGATATTTTTCACTCTTTCCCAAAGTTAAAGTAAATAAGAATAATACGTAGTAAGTAACGTGCTTATGGGATCATCTAGATTTGAAAAAATGTAAAGCTTCCGCTAACGCATAGCCAACGGAATACGATCAGCGACTACCGAGTAGATAGCCACAAATTCTCGAATCCCATTGTGAAAGACCTTAATAACTATATATATATATATATACTATATACATAGTCATATAAACTTATGTTTGCTTGTTGATAATTTAAGCTTAAAACTGTTGCAAAAAAAATTGTTTACTTTGCAGTATGATGTGTTTCTGATCAATGATCTTTTCTAAAATATTCTAATTCAGCGTTTAATTATTTTTTATTTATGCTTATTATACATACATTTATACATGAAATTCAACTAAAGAAAATTACAGTCGAATTCAGTGCATCTTAATAGAAAATCTTATATTAATTGTTTTAAAATGAGTAGACAATAAAAAAGAAGAAGAAGAAGAAAAAATAAAGTAAGTTTAAAATAAATTAAAAAGTTAAAAATAATAATTCATGTATAAATAAATAAAATGAGAGCGAGAGAGAGAGGGGAAAAAAGCATGTACACAGCTAGCAGAGAAGCACACTCGCAACAAGAACAGATCCAGGTTGCAAATGAACCCCTAAGCCATCGCAAACATGCATAAGCTTGGCAACCGACACGTTAACAACACAATACTATTTTAAATAAAAAAGATGAAATATTAAGAATGAAACGTTAGTTCAACTACGACATAGGTAAATTGCGCCTATTAAGCAAGGTTGCTTTAATAGACTTTAAAGAGTCCGATAATGAGAATAAGTGATAGACGTCATTTAGGTTTCCACGAAAAAATCTGAGCGGGTTAAGCAGCTCAAAATTGTAATGAAGATAAAGTGCCTAGAGAAGCTGTTAACGACCTTAAAGCTTATCTCACCAAGTAATGCGGACAAGTCAATAGTAACATTGATTAAGAAGGAAATCCCAAGAACAAATCTACGCTTCTCAAGTGACGATAAGAATGATAGAAGCAATATATTTTCATAGGGGGGAAGAGAGACAATCGGGTCGCAGCCCAAATTCTTAAGAGTAAACAGCAAGATTTGCTTTTGAACAAATTCAATTGAATCTACATAGCACCTATATGAAGGCGATTACACAACAGAGGCATACTCAAGTATAGGTTTAAACAAACACATGCACAACCTTTGGACCACCCCTTTATAAAGCCAAGCGCGGACCTAGCTTTGCTTAACGAGAGCTCAACAGGCAAGCTAAAACGTACTCTATGGTCAAATAGAACGCCTAAATCTGTGAACGAATCGACGACCCCCAACTTGTGCGAATCAATGATATACTGAGTGATAAATGACTTTCTTTTTGAGAAAGAAAGCTTTAATAAAGATCTAGTGTCAGACGATGGAAAGAGCATTATGCAACCAAATTATTTAAGTCACCTTGAAGCTGATGCGATTGCGATTGTATGGAAAAGCAAGAAAATGATACGTAGTTCGCCCGAATGTAAATATATAACGAAAATGGCTGACTGCTGCTTCGTTGGCGTGCTATAGCGAATGTGCGATTAGTCTTAGTCTAGCAGTTCTTATCATTATTTAATGTACCTTAAAGCTGCTTTATTACAAATAGAATTTTTACTCTGTAGTCCGAACCAACCAACCATATTCCAATCGAAGTATATGTCAATTGAAAAAAAATATATATATAAATAAATTTCATTTAAATTTAGTTTCAATATTTATTGTTTATAATCGAACGTTTAATTAATTAAAAAAAAAAAAAAAAAAAAAAAAAATCAATAAATAAACAAATAAAATTTTAATTAAATTTAAATTTAGATTTAATATTTCGATGTATTCCGAAAAGATGCATTCATTGTATTATAAGAACGGAGAAAAAGAATTTAATTATATAACTTTGATAAGATGTTTTAAAGGTTAGATAATAAAGGTGCAATAATACTTACATCATAGCTTTCAGGTAAACCAGGTGGACCAGGTGGACCAGGCGGGCCAACCACACCGGGTAAACCGTCAACACCTGGTTCACCTTTTTGACCCTGGAGACCTTCGGGACCACGAGGTCCAGGATCGCCCCTATCGCCGCGGTCGCCTTTAGAACCGGGGGCACCGCGTTCACCTTGGACCCCAGTAGCACCCTATAAAATAAAAACAAAGAAATGCTTAGAATATCAAGAAAATCTATTGAATGTGCGCAATTGGAAAATCTAAATAAAGGTGTGTTCAACTATGTTAGGTAAATCTTTTATAGCGTCTTTAGGGCAAAGCAAACGAATTAATTTCCTTTTCTTTTCTTCTTTTTTTTTTTTTTTTTTTTTTTTTATTTTTTTTTAATAAAATAGCATTTTTTTTTTTTTTTTTTTTTTTTTTTTTTTTTTTTTTATATTTTCGTCTTTAATTCATTCTAGCATATGGAGTAAGATTATAAAGTTCACACTACATTGACACTCCTTTGATTGCAAAGCATTTAAGCGGATTTTACACATTTTTGCTTTATTCATTTTTGCGTTTTGTTTTGTGGTTACTGTAAATTTATTACATAAAACATGTAACAACAAATAATCACGTTATGTTTGCGTGTTCCTACCGTATAGTCACAGTTTTCTGAGAGATTAAATTAATTGCTTTGAGTAAAAAAGGATTAGCGTGGCCATAACGGAATTTCCGGCATACCGCCATATTTCATCACCACCTAACCATTTCGTTATTATGGTCGTTGTTAAGGTCGTTGGCGTCGTCATCGTCATCGTCATCGTCATCGGCGTCCAACATTTATTGTCACAACACACTTGCCGTGCGCAATAGGGTTAAAAGCGAAGGAAATACATGATGATATCATAAATATTTTATTTGTCTATATTTTAATGATATTTTCTTAAACAGATGAAGCCAAAAGAATTTAAAATAACAATAACAACAAAAAAAAAAGAAGAAGATAAATAAAGCAACATAATTATTTTAATATATATCTTCTACTTTTGTCTAAAAGTTACAGATTTTCCTTAAAGTTCGCCTTCTCCAATATGCATAGAATGATTTACAATATACGTAAGCAGTTTAGGATTTTAAAGCTGTGTGGTGCTTACGAATGATTTAACTAACAGAATATTTTACTTAAAATAATTTCACTTGATTTACGAGTAAAATTTTCTGAAGAAGCATAAAGACAGAAAGATTATGATTTAATTTCAACTTAAACCAACCATTTTACGTTTGATGTATTGCATAAGACTTCGTTCCATAAAATGCTTAAAACGTTAATTCGTAATTTTCAGAAGAAATAAAACAAAAGAGAAAAGAAAATTTATTAAATAATAAAAGCTTTGAAGGGACAGTAATTGCGTATAAATTTTGCCAAGTGTATGTTTGTTTTTTTTTTTTTTTTTTTTGCCTTTGTTTTGTAAATTAAATGAAACAATTTGAAATTAAGTCAGTTAGTGAAACCTTAGTTTAATTTAAGGTGAAAAACCCGCACTTTAAATATTCATCATTTACGTTCAAAATATACATGTGTTTGGTTAATGGTTCATTTAGTTATCCTTTTCTGTTTTTCTCAACTTAACTTTCCGTGGTTAAATATATATTCAGAACCTAGAAATTTTTACTTTAAATTTCATATTTATCCCACACAACGAAGCATGAGCTATATATGTTAACATTTCGTTTCGCATTTATCGAGAAGGCCGCGTTAGACATTTGAAATCTGGATAGCGCCGTCCTTCCCTGTACCTCTGGTCCAAAGTTTTGAAATCTTTAAAATTTCAGTCTTCAGAAATTTAATATATAGTGCATATATTTTGTTTTGATCCAATATTCGAAACGTATTTAATACAAGTTTGCTTATAGCTCGAAATCAAATAGAAAAGCAATCCTAGCTAAGGAAGATTTGAGCTCTCACTCAAAATTTGTTTGTATCAAAATTTTTCAAAATATTTTACATGTATATACACATATATATATATATATGAATTATTGTTTTTTTGTAATTTTTAACATAAGTAAATTTGATTTTCATAGATTTGCATACCGTTTGTTTGGCTTCATAATGAAGAGATAAGATGTCAGATGAAGCGATATAAAAAAGCTCAAGTTAGCTGAAATTTTTAAGCCGCTGGGAGGAGTTTCTGTTAAGAAGAACAGTCAGTTAGTCATGTAAAATTTTCACCGAAACTTGAATACTGCTGCAGCTGAGAAAGGGCTAAAATTTCTGTAGAAAACATTTTATCATATATAGTCGAAGGTAATTTGTTTGTTGTTGTTGTTCTGGCTTATTGTTTTTCTTTGTTTTTTTTTTTTTTTTCTTTGTAAACAAATCAATTATTAAATAGCTTACGCTGCTTTGCTTAAAGCTATACAATCCTTCTGCCGCATACTACTGGTTAATGTGACCAGAAAATTGACACACACAGGACTTTGATTTATTCGTTTTATAACACTTGGATATACTACTGTCTTCTACGCCGTTCAATAAATTTTAAGTGCCTTGCGGATTTAACTACATTTGTCGTCTCCATCAATCCATTTAATGTTTGCTGTTGAAAGTGCTGCTAAAGTGGTTAAAAGGTTCAACACAAGTCGTGAAAATTCAAAAATTCACGCTTGTGCTATTTATTTTGTGTTATAATATTGGTGATCTAGCTCATGTTTCAGAGTCAAGTAAGTAGAGCTCTAATAAAACAGATTAATAAAATAATTGATGCGTTATATTGAAAACATATCGAAGATATTGATCTTAAGCTTGGCATAAATATTTATCGGACTTATAATCCAAAATACACTTACCTCGAATGACACGAGCAAAGTTCGTGAAAATAGGTAAAGCATATCATAGGAATAGTACGTTAAAAATTTCGAAAGCATCAATTTAATGTGAGAGTTCATATGACCTCCATCAAGACCGTATCTAATCGAGTTAATAAATTTAGTCAACCTTGACTTTAACCGCAACCGAAGTATTTACGGAAATGTATTAAGTCTCGAGGATAATTCCGGTTTCATATTCCCTTTCAAATCGTTTGTATTTTTATCGAAAAACAAAAGTCATTGCTAAAAACTTGTGTGATTCCCCAGAATTCTTTGTATAATACGAAAACAGTCTTCATGAAGAGGACTTTCTTTCTGCTAAAATTATCGAACAGATAGCAGTCTCGCATCGTGGACGTCGTTTTTCGAGTTTAAGTCATGAGTTTTAAACGCAGTTTCTCAAGTTCTGCATCGCTTATAAGATGATACGTTCAGAAGTATCCTCCTACCTCCTATAGGTAAAATCAAATTCGAGTGCAATTCTTCTGAACAGCTATTATAAGAAAAGCTAGCTACTTGATGGCCTTGGCAATTTACCCCGTATTAGGTGTTTTTTTTTTTAACTTTTCATTTTTATAAACTCGAAGACCATAAATGTGTTGTTACCAGCACCAAAATGAAACGAACAAGTTAAGGGAGGTGCAGGACTCGTCGTTAAAAAAATATAAATTTTTCAAACATAAGAAAAAAAATAGATAAAAATAAAAACGTATTGTTTTAAATGAATCATCAAATAAAGCCAAGAGAATATGCTGCAGAAAGTAAGTTTTTCTCGAATCTGTCACAACAGATTTGGGCCGAAAAACGTCAGTTAAAATCGTTTGCAGTGGTGGTCAAATTATCTTTCGTCGTGGATGCAGGAGCGGCTTGATTATTTGTCTTGGCTTTTGATAGTGTTGCTTTTATATGTGCTCGGGTTCATCATATAAAACGATGCTTTTTAATTCTTCAACCATGATCTTAAACCTGCACTTGCAGCAATTAATTAGGGAACGTATTGCACACGCATTTAAAGAAAAGCTCTTGGTTTTCATTTGTCATCAATGTCATCGTAAAGTCACTGATTTTTGCGAGACCACGCATTTTATGCAGGTTATGTCTTTTTGAAACGCACTTTTCGAGGATATAAGCATTTCTTGGGATTTTTTTTCGAAAACGTACTATTTCGAGAAGTTTTTAAAATAATCCCCTTTTAACGATTCCGGAATATGTTTGTAATTTATTATGGGAAATATTTTGTGCGATGGCTAGTGATTAACATTAAGTAGTTTCGAATTTCCATCAAATCCGATAGAATCAACCATAGGTTGGCATTTTATTCGCTTACTCGTCACCTTTTAAAGCCTAAGTTATAGGTACGCATATGCAGCCAGTTGGGGTACATACATATATAATCATCGAGTATATATGGCATATATTTTTGGGAAATTTTTGCCAAAAAACTATTTTTGCTATTTTGCATTAGCAAATGTTTTAAATTCTTCTGCATGCGTTTAAGCTTGACTACATACAAGATATTATAGAGAGATACCATCGAGGTTGTCAGTTCTATGTCTTATAAATATTATTAAAATATTTTTAATTAATTTTCCAAAGTTTCTCCTAAATATATTTCGGGAGACGCGCGTACGTACATACATATAACTTCATGTTCTTATTTAAAATGAAATCTCGTAAAGTTTTACTTGTGTTGGCCATTTAGTAGAGTAATAACATATAAAATGTACAAAACATCTATAAAATACGAAAAACGAAAAGGGAAAACCAAATATAGGCAGAACAAGAAGGTAGGGGAAAGAAGCGGAGGAACTCACAAAACCCTTTTCTGAGTGTGGGCCCGTCTGGTGCTCGAATAGATCATATTTTTATTTGCTATTTTTTTTTTTTTTTTTTTGGCACTAAAAAATTGCTTTTATTGGATTTTGTTTTTGTTTTTTTTTTTGGGGCGTGTCGGAAAATAGTTTGAGCAAAAATCTAATATGCAAATGTATCGCAATGATTTGCATATCGAAATTCATAGTCATGCATCTATGTTGGGTGTGTTTGCCCGACACGGGCTTTCTGGCTGTTATTCAAACGGTCAGATATATTTAGAATATCTTAATTCTTTGGCGATGGATCTTAAACAAAAAACAATGTACAAAGATTCTATGAAAAATTCTCGAAATTTCATTTCAATACACTTGTTAAGATATGGACAGAAGCGCATGGACATTTATCTGTAGTTATTAAAAATTCATTTATATTTATGAATGTATGACAGGCTTTGATTATATGCTATTAAAGAAATATTTACGCATACTTACACAAGCAGACATTTACATTTTCCCACATATCTCTCTCATATTCTGTCACAATATGACACAAATAATCTTCTATCTTTAAGAGTTGATTATTTTATGCAATAGGATGTGACGTACAGACATATATTTATGCATAAATGTGCGCACATAAATAAAGCAGAGAGAATGATAGATAGTTCGAAACAAAGAGAGAGATATAGACAGTCAGAGAGAGAGAGAGAGAGAGAGAGAGAGAGAGAGAAAGGGCGAGAGAAATTAAGAAAAATAATATAGAAATTATATTTAGATTGAGTCGAACTTTTTCATACTCACTTCGTTCTTGGGCCCGATACTTGATTGCGAACATATATATATATATATATAATGTACGTCCTGTCATATATAGTTTACAGCATATTTTTATTCAATCAGATAACATTTTTGAGGTAATAGTGTAAACTAAAGACCGGGCTTGCATGCTTTATTCTATCTATGCTTCAATTTTCGAGAGTTAAGGGAGAATTGTTTAGTGCTATTGTCCCAATTTCGGAAATGAACACGAAGATCTTATTAAGATAAATTTTAAAGTTTTATACAGCTTAGGAACCGGAGAAAGATGACATAATACACTTTCCTGGTAATTGTAGACATTCCGCTGGAGCGGTGTTGCCGACTATCCAATTTCGGCTGAGGAAAGTGAAAAGAATGTCCTCAGACCAAGTTTACTTTACCCGAAATGCTATAAATAGAGGAAACAGGAACAGGTGGAGGTAAATCGATGTCGGTATGTACGCTGATCACGAATATGCAGGCTTTCACAAGCGTCATGTGGATGTTTCTGCGCGTTACAAACGCTTGATAAATCTTATGTACCCCCCCCCCACACCACGTTGATGGATATAAACTCATAAGCATTTTCAGCATATAGTTGTTAGGCAGGGACATATATATATATATATAGGAATACATTTGCAAGAGACCAGTACGTACGTATTTACATTTGTATATAAATCTTTATTTATGCGTGGAGACTTGTTTGGTCTCGTTTCACTGATACACTTAGGTCTAAACACATTGAGTTTTACATACATTTACTAAAATCTCTAAAGAATGTTAGTCACTCAAGCAGAATGATATGCAAACGTACATAAAAACACAGAAACTACTGCAGTTGAGTTGAGTGGTATGGAATGTGTGTCTGAGTATGTGCATGTGTTTATGAGTTTGTGCGCAAAATATTAGGAAAAAAAAAACAAAAAAAAAATTTTTTTTAACAAATTGTTTTTGAGGTACAATCAGGATGAAATGTTTTTACGGTCTGAATGCCCGCATACAATTACGTATGTCATGTCATCATAATAATGGAAACTCAAGATTTTAAGATATGTATCGTTAGATACGTAAGAGTATCACAAATATATTTTTACGTATTGCCAACAGGAAAGACATATTCGGTCACTTAATTCTACCCAACATCGGAAGACATGCTACCTTTGCTATATTGTACGCAATGCACGACAATACGCATCGATGATCCCATAAGAAATATATATTAAGCACGCGCTAGATTTGAAAATAGAATTTTAAGTTCGCCCATTGTATGACGCTTTCCGATCATTGTTTACGTACTTGACTTTTAAATCGCTACGGCGATCATATAAATTAAAATATTTTAAGTTTCTATTGTTATCTAACAATTCAATCTTTTTCTTTGGTTATTTTGCATTTTCTCAAAAAAAAAAAAAAAAAAAACACTTGTGTGTGAGTATTGCTAATCCATTTTATATCATTTTATATGAAATGTAAATAACTTTAGGAACCCCATTAAAGGGCCAACGGATAGGGCCAAGGGATAGTCAATAGGTTACAGGCTAACATTACCTAAGACTGCCTATATTTTATGTGTAAGCTCCGATGGGCATCAGTGAGATTATAGATCGAGTGACAAAACAAGTGCACTGCTGTTCTTGTTGGTAATGGCAAACATATGAAAGAAATAAAACAACAATTTTACATTTATAGTAAAACAATTTCTTTTCAAATATTGTATTGTTTGTTGGCAAGAGGGCAGGCAATTCAGGCTGTAATTATATTATCCAGAGCACGTATCGGAATCGGTTTGAGATATTCCTCTTACTGCATACCATAATAAATTAAATTCGATGATATCAAATTCATGACTGAAGCATACAGCAACGTAACTTAAGCAATGTCGTGGAACAGCAACGACTCCCGACATTCACATGATGCATGTAAGTAAATTCAGTGTATGACGAATATATGTTTTTTCATATAATTTTCCCCTTCTCTACTTTCCTTCTACAATTTCCTTCTATAGCTAAATCTTGCTTTGCTTCGAACATTGCTTGTGTATACCTGTATCACAGAATTATTGTGCACGTTTGTATATGCGTATATGATACAATAGGTATCATTTAGTATTTTATTATACCTAGGGGTATAGAGATTACAGAGAAACACACTAACGAACAGTTTAAGCAAATGTGTTACAGAAGACACTTTGGTCGTGCTAGTAATGATGAAGGCGATGGTGTTGGCAAGATTATAGCTGATGGCGCACTAGTACGACATATTTGCGTAGACCCATAAATTGTAATATGCTTTATTTTTTCTTGTCTAAATCAACAGTCACTTAGATATAGATTTACAAAAAAAGCATATATATATCATCTTTACACCTATACGCATTAATATTTATTATATATATTCATGTATGTGCGTGCATATAAAATCTTATTAATGGCGATTGATTTCATATTTGTTGCTAATTATTAATTGCGATTTTATTTATTTTTTATTAAATAATTAATTTATGACATTATCCTTAAGGGAATTGTTATATGTATATAGCATATATAAGTATGATGATGTAAGTCAGTTTTAGAAAGAATTTTTGAACATTTCAAATATAGTAAGATAAATTATTTATTTAAACGCATTTTAATACAAACGCATGAATTAATCAAAGCTTCGAAAAGATTTTCCTTCATCCTAAATATTTGCCAACATTTTATCTTTTTTCTTCTATCATAAGTAGAACTCCCTGCAGAGAAGCGCTTAGATGCGTTGCCATCTAAGCGCATTGTCCATGATTGATTGAAAATCTCGCTGTTTGCAAACGTATGCATAAGCATCAAATGCAGACCCACGCATAGTTCATGGCGACTGCTATGTTGGCATTTATACAGTGTTTTTTTAGATTAGGGAGGCGAGTTCATAGATAATTTGATTTTTGTAACGCTTTTGTACAACCATCTCCATCAATTATATCATCTGCAAAATGTTTATATTGTACAGCAGTCAAAAACTCCTTCAGTCTTCAGGAGGTCAATCTACATTGCTATCTAATACATAGCCACGTGTACTAAAGCTGACTGCTACGTACGTAGTTCTATTTCGTCATTATTACGCTTGACATCTCTTTGAGCCTAACCTATATGCTCCAGATTGGTAAATAATCTCTTCGCTCATTGTCATTGATCGTTCGATCGACCATCTCTTTGTTCATATTACCAATTACACGGTTTACGCCATTTGACAAATAGAGTAATAGATAAGCTATAGGTGAAAAGTAGTGCTCGCCAAGCCGTATACATCTGTTAGTTAAGCTTGATTATTTAGTTATTCTTTTTTAAGATAACTGCAATATATATATTGCGGGGCGTATAAGTAACATATTAGTAAACTTTCATTGCATTGCATGATAAATTGCACTAAACGTATGCAAATATCGCGGCGTATGAGCAACATTAGGATGTAAAGTAAAGAACTATAGCGAAATATTCTTTTTTGTGTTTTTTTTGTATAATTGGCGAAATGTGAACAGATTCTTTCATTCGTTACACCTATTTTGAAAAACGTCATGATTTACGATATGTTTCAGTTATACGCTAGGAGCGCTAAATCAAAATGGAAGAGAACTCTTTATGTGAAATAAGTCAAGATACATAATTAGTTCATAATAATAATAATAATAAGCATAATAATAAGCCATGGACCAGTTTTAAGCAGGCCAGCCCAATGGCAATTCTTTATTGTAACGTAGTCTAGTAGGAAAAATTGAAAGATAAGTAGACAGTGTATACGCTAATCTATTTCGTATCGTTATGCTTTGGAAAACTATTTTCACCGGTTAATCAAACCGTTGACATCTTCTTTGGATGACAATACAATCAGAAAATCAGTTATAATCTGCTTAAGCATTAGAAAATGAGAAGCACTTACCGTACGTCCAGGAGCACCAGTTTTTCCCTCCTTGCCCGGCAAGCCTGGCGGACCGCGCAGTGTTTCACGTAGTAAATCGTTGTCTTTAATTGCTGCTAGGATATCGGATGCATTGCAAATACACTTGCTAGAGTATTTCTGCAAGAGAATATGTAAAGAAAAGAAAAATCAAATAAATCATTTGTTGTATCCGTGTGTAAGGAAGTTTGTAAATGCAATCACGTAAATTGGTGTCACTTAATATCTTTTAAATACGTTCTATATGTATAGGGGTATATGCCGCACTTTAAATGGTAGCTGAACGCTGACGATAATATTGGTTCGAAAACGCAAATCCCGATCAATGTGCGTTATTACACAGTATCGTCGCTAGCGGGGGATTCATTAAACATCGACCACAGAAATAAACAACAGAAAAAAAGTAAATAAATAAATAAAAACTCCACATTTGTAGATGGATATATGAAAACAAAAAAAAAAAAAAAAAAAAACAAAACAAAACAAAACAAAACAAAACTTTTCATTCATAAAACACACACACACACACATATATATATATATATATATATATATAGCGTGCATGCTTGATGCGTTCTACGCGTAGGCAAATGGTAATAAATTAAAAATCTATAAATGTTGTTGCATTGTTAGTGTGTAAACATATATTTCAGAAGACAAAGCATTTCAATTCGTTTTGTTTTATATGCAGAGTAATGTTCTTATACTTGCATTTGTGTGGCACTGGATTGCGCTGGAAAGGTTTCATAATTACATTCATTTACAAATGTGTATGAATGCTAATGTGCATTCTGCGCATGGGATTTATTATGAATTTTTGCTGTTTTGTACTTATTGCAATAATAGTGAGAGCACCAGAAATAAAACGAATAAAAAAAAAAAAAAATGAATAAAGAAAGAAAACATGAAAATGGTTCAGATAAAATGTGTTATTAATTGTTATGTTAAGCTTCATATATCCTTTGCGATGTGTTTTATAATGAATATTCTTTTCGAGCCAATGCAATAATGCTTAAAAGTACAAATTCTGTATAGAAAGAATTTTGATATAGTCTTAAATTAATATTTGGTCGGATATATTGACAAACGCTTACTTCAACAATACTTTGCTGTAATTCTATGAACGGAAATTTAAATTTAATTTGAACGCTTTTCCCTTTTTTGTTTTTATTTTCGCTTTTGTTTTTGCCTTTTTTTTTTTTCTTCTTTTTTTAATGCCCAAGCTTAACGTTTGATTGCGTTAAAACAACTGTGATTACTGCTGTTAGAGTAGAAAATTCATCGGCAAAAATGCCATAAAATATTAATGCATAAGCATAGGCACAAGTGCAGGTTTACCATCTGCGTACATATACGATACGAATATATGTATATGTATTTAATATACAAACACAATAATCTCTGTGTATGTATAGCCGGAAAGGAAAATACCTAATATATTTTCCCTGGATAACAATGTGTTAGATCTAACAGATTTTCGCCATTTTGTCGTTGCAAATGCACTTCGCAACAACAATAAACCGCCGCTAAAAATAGCAACAACATCAGTAATAATAATAGGTAAAAATCCATTGACAGTATTTATACATGTGCTTAAGTGTGTTAGTTATAGTTAAGCTCGATGATATCCATACACATACGTTACATTCAACCTTTACCGCATACGCTTCATATACCCTTACCCTTACGGTTACTGCATGTTACAGTATTTCGATATGTTTCGCGGTGCTTCAGTTTGCCTCGGCGAGCATATCTACTTGTTTGCTTAAATGTTATATATTTATATACATATATATGTGATGCTTAATATAACGCGATTATGTATGCATGTATCTATATGTAAGACCGATATTAAACACATGGCTTAGAATGTAATGCATTTCATGTTGGCTAATACTCTCGACAAAAACCGTTACCAATAAACTATGATTGTGCGGAATCACCACACTTTATACTTATTTGTTTTGTTTGCTTTTTTCTCGTACCATTTTCTCTCCTATACGAATATGGGTAATTCTAGTCTCTTTATAGTTCCATGTCCAGGTCCAGATATGTTTATTGGGTTAATTACTGCAGATGACATAATTGAAAGAAGTCAACTTATAGTAAAAGTCAAATTTTCTTTTTCTCATTTCGCTAACATTGAGCTTTCCTTAGGTCAAATGACTTGATGTTACGAGGGTAGTTCCATGTGTACTCAACTTAACAGTCGAGGAATTGCTTTTCAAAACAGCGAACACTCCCAATGAATTCCTGAAAAAGCGTGTTGTCGTTATGCGATACAAGATTTTGACTTTTATAAGACCACCTCAACCCAACCAAAATCGCAATTGAACCAGATTCTGCTTTGGAGGACTTTGCCCGTTCGTTTAATAAAAGAAAATGTTGCGTTACAGCGTGTAAACTACGTTGTACGAGTTGCCAAGAATAAGAGAACCGCGACAAAAATGGTAAACAAAACTCGCAATATTGTATTGGGCAACTGTCAATGAAAAGTGCGCGACAAAGCAGAAAAGCGTAGGCATATCGTTCGTTTGCTGATTTAAAATTTCGACATAAATAATATTTGCGCAGAATAAATAGCGCGTATGCTCGTAGTTGACCAAAAAGGAGTGTCGCGAATATGTTTCAATCGAGCGATTCAGCGTTTATTTGCACCAATAATCGATCACACTAGACTCTATCTATCACTATTTTAGCTGAGACGAAGGAGTATAGCCAATATAATGGCCCGAAAGAAAAGAATCGCCACTAAATATATCAAAGAGGGTTTGGTGTGATGCCAAGTTGTGGCGTCACATTTTTGAAATGAACGTCGACACATTTCTATTAGTTAATTAGTGCAATATTTGAGAGATTTAAGCAACAACAACAACAAAAAAAGTTGCACATATATCAAAGGGAACGCGTCTATGCACATATTAGCTATCATTATGCGAAAATCTTACGGCTTAAGTTGCCGACTGACTCACGCGCCCGATTGATCAAATTAGGGCCTGTCTTTTCTTTCTCTGAAAAGCTCGATGGTTTTCAGTATAGGCGGGGATTCAAAATCTCACATCGCTGGGAGAAGTGTTTGCGAATCCAAAAAACAGTAAAGATATTTATTCGGAAATATGTTGTGTTCCGTATACAACGAGGCCACTCGCATCTCTTAATCCTATAAAATGCACACTTCACTTTAACTTAAGGTATTTAAGTTGATTTTTAAATTTGACTTATGGCATTAAATCATTATTAACAATGGCAAGTGTAAGCTTTCCTGCGTTTGTTTGGGAACTCCAAGCTTAGGGCGAACATAATTAACTCCGTGCAGTTTTACATGGTTATAGATAAAATTTGAATTCGTCCCAATTTTGGAAAGCGATGTAAAAAAGCGGAGAGGGCTCTCTTCTCAATACCGAACTTGAAAGAATTTTCTTTTCCATTTCTTTCGTTTCTAGAGACAAAGGCATATGAGGAAAACATTATTAATTATGCCACGAAAAGGCACAAAGGGATATATGGCTTAATTTAATCGAGAATTCCGCACGTGATGACTGAACCTGCTATGAGCTAACCTGTCTGGCGGTGCATATAGAATTTATTAACTTATAAACTAAGATGATTTCTAATTTGTTTTAAAGGCCTGTTAGAACGTTTTGTCGTGCATTGATGCTATGTTTGATTATGATAATCTTACGGAAATACCCATAGACACATTTAGAATACATTCAGTCATTCAAATAGCTTTAAATAAGTTATTTTTATCAAGAATGCTGCAAACAGTTTTACAAGTACATCTGAAACGTTCGGAAGCATGTGAAGATTATAACAAACCAAAAGCGAAATAGAGAAAAAACTGATAGAAAATATTGAATAAATCCTCGTAAATCGCTTTATATATCATTAATGCTCGCTCATAAAATAATATATATATATATATATATATATATATATATATGTATTTATTTCTTCTTATCATCAATTAAAATATAAGAGCAATGTTCTCTCTCTTGTTTTTATAACACCACCATTGAGGGCAGTCATGTATTTAATTTTTCATATACATATACATTTATTTAAATATTTACAAAGTATAGTTAGTTAATTAAAAAGTGATTAGGAAAGTTTATCCTTTGATAGCTTAGAGAGGAACATTTGCGGCAGATAAGATATTTAAAACAACCATAAAATTGGGCAACAAGATTATGGGTATACATATATATGTAAATAAATATAGAAGATTTAAGGAGATTACTCATCATTGTTATGATTACGCTATGAATTTGAATATTTTGCGTATTTATCTTATAATTTTTTCATAAATAAATTTGAATTTTGCAAGCAATTTTGAAAGCTCGATGGCTCATTTTTAAGTGGTCTTCATTTCATTGCTGGTACTTGCGAAGTGTCCGCAATGAAGCTTGAAAATTGACTATCATTTGGGGAAACAGATTGAGTTCATTTACTACAGCGTTTTACGATATCAACGGATTCGCAAATAGTTTAAGGTGAACTTGAAATTTTTTTTATATTTCAGCAAACCCAGGCGGATTTGAATTCAGAAATCTAATCTAATTATTGACAAAGAAAGCAATGCGAATGATGGCAATAATTAAAACGTAAACAATACTAGATTTACCGACGTTTTGTGTATAACTAACTATTTTTCGTAAAACGCTTCAACTCGTGCGGGTCATTTTCGTGAAGCGTCCATCACAGTCGCCCAAATAAAGATAGGCATATGGATTTTGGTATAGAGCTTCCTTGATTGGCTGAAAATGTGTGTTTAAAAATATGGGCGTGATCTGGTTTGCGAATTGTTTTCGTACTTTGCAAATACGTTCACAATTAACGACTAAATAGGTAATGAGATAGCATTTATATACCATTTTACGCTCATTGAATTTTGTTTTTTTTTCTTTTTTATATGTGACATTACTAGACTTACGGTCATTGATTGTATATATTTTTTTTGACATTTACCTTTCTGATGGATATATTCGAACGAAATGTCTATCTCAATTATTTATTTATACCTTATACATTTTTGTCAACAGCCTTTTCCACTACATATGTTGCATGTAGCATCTATCTTGAATGCTTGCTTTCCGCGAACAAACATCTTAAACTGAATG